CTTCCCGAGTGTACACCAAGGTGATCATCTAACCTAAGACCAGGCTTCTTCCAGATATTAGAGTCGGAAGATGGGGAACCTGTTGTTTATCAAGTCTTTTGGGAGGGCTTAGACAAATTCTAAGATGTTGACTGCTGTATGGTCCCATTCCTCTTGTGGAAGGCATTATTATTATTATTATTATTATTATTATTATTATTATTATTATTATTATTGTTATTTTAGGCAGTTGGGGTTAAGTGACAAGCCCAGGGTCACACAGGTAGTAAGTGTCAAGTGTCTGGTCTGAAGCTGAATTTGAACTCAGTTCCTCCTGACTCCAGGGCTGGTGCTCTGTCCACTGAGCCACCTAGCTGCCCCTGTGGAAGGCATTTTTAAGCTCCTTAGGACAATCTATTAGGCCCTATTTGGTCATCACCTTTACAAATTACCTTTACAAGCATAATACAACTACTCTGATCCCCTTTGCCTGAAGTGTGCTGTATTTTAACCTTCTCTAGGGTTCTTCAGTACCGTTAAGGGTGCTGGGGGTGTCTAGATTCTCTGCAAATGGATCTAACCCTCACTGATAGTGTTCCCTCAATTGTAGGGGTTGTAGAGCCCCTACACCTCAGATCCCTTTCTTTATCCATTAATAGTCAGAAGAGCTTTTACACAGAAATATTTACTTCAAAAAGTATAATCACAAATATACAAATTCAAAATCCTGTCCCCCTTTACCCTGACACACACAATCTGGAGAGGGTAAGAGGATTCGGTTCATAGCTTAGCTCATTTCCCATATAGTCCCAGTTCCAAGTCCAAGACCCCACTTGAGCTCACATCTCAGGCATCCTGGCTGAGTTGTCAGTGGCTGTACCACTTCACTTCCATCCTAGCTTCAAGGCCAGGACACAGGAAGCTGTGTCTTTAAGCCTTTAAAGAGGCTACCCTCACCAAGGTGGTAGGGGATGTTAGGCAAACTGGGTGGGCTCAAAAGGCTGCTCAAGGGTGTCTCCATGTTAGGAGAATTGGGTGTGCACCAAGAAGCCCAGGTTACACAAGAAAATTGCCTTTACTTGTAGAGGTCATCACTCTACAATTTCCTTTATTTCCTTCTCCTAGACCTGGATCTCTGTTGGCTTTTTATGGGAGATTCCCTGTCTTTGTATAAATAGGGAAGGCTTAGGCTTGTCTGCTTTTCTTGGGTAGACACCTGAACTAGCCCTAGTGGCTGTTATCTGTTTTTAGATTGTCTTGGAGTACTCTTGTATCATACACTCTATTACCAGAGAGAAGTTGCATTAGGTTCACGTAGTGGTGAGGGCATCAGTTGACCAGTTGACCCACACCTTCTGGCCTTCAGTTGGAAATTATTCCATCGCCTGACTTTCCAGTTGAACTCTCACAAATCAGCATTTCTTACCCTGGGTGTCATCTTTTCAAAGCTTCATGTCCACTCAAATCTTTTATTTATTTGAGGCCTGTTTATATTACTCAAAATTCAGAACATCTCATCTTCTGAGATCAGGGCAAAGATTTCCCAAGTGCCAAATGACATATTTATATTTTAGGTCAAGTCAGAAAATCCCAGCTTAAGGCTATTCAACCCAGATCTGCATTTGGGAGGATTCAGCATCACTCCCATACAGCATTCCCTAAATATGTAAAATCTCTTTAATCTGTCCCTCATAATAAGGGTCACCGATTTCTCCCAGAGCACTGGTCCCCAAGGGCTGCAGACCCAGACCTCGCAGTGCTCTATAGATAGATGTAACCAGTTGGGACAGTAGATCTAAGCATTCCTCCAGTCTTAGGAGTCCTGATCTCCTTGAGCGATCTCATCCTATTCCATTTCTTTCCAGAAATGGAGGGGATTTCAAGAGACATGGCTTGTCTGATTTTCATGTTGGCTTAACAAGACAGGCAAGGATACTGGCTCAATCATCATATGTACTCGTTGTGCCCCTTCCTTGCCTGTCTCCTTATTCACCCACTTTTGACATGGAATTAGCTAACAGCCAAAATCATTGAAAGGTTGTCTGTTGACCTGATAGCCTGTTTTAGTGGGGCAAGTGCTCCATTCTGTTAGGGAGGCAGAAAACCACAGGCAAGTGATAAGATCTACTTTAACATAGTCATGCTGCCAACTACATATTCAACCAAGCAAGCATTTATTAAGCACCCATTGTGTGCCAGGCCTTATACCAGGTGCTGGGGTTACAAATACAAAGAATAGAACGAGCTTGCTACCCTAAATGAAAGAGGATGTTTCCTATTGAAATATATTATCAAATAATACCCAGGTTATAGGTCATATCTTGCAGTACCTGAGCTGGGAAAGGAGGTGCTATAATCAGAAGCAATCCATTGTTGCAGCTCATGTAATAAGAAGAAGAAGAAGAAGAAAAAGCATTTGTCTATCACTTTAAATTTTGCTAAGTACTTTACATATATTATTTTGTTTGATGTTGATCCTCATAAGAATCCTATGAGGTACATGCTATTATTATCCCTTTTTTATAGCTGAGGAAACTGAGACATTGGTTAAGTGACTTGCCCAGGGACACAGAGCTAGTAAGTATCTGAGGTGGGATTTGAGCTCAGGTCTTCCTTAATCCAAGAACAGAGCTCTATCGTGCTACCTATCTGCTTTGGTTAAAGAAAAGCAATTTCAGTTCTAAATCCTAAGTGTTGGAACCTAGGTCAGGCAAAGTTGTAATAGTATAAGTATCAAGTCATTTGAGCACCGATATGATAGAGGAAGTACTACTACAGTCAGCTTCTCATGAATTGGCAGGGGAGGCACCCTCGCACATACACTGGAGATGAGTCCCCAACAAAATTTGAGTGGGAGCTGGGATCCCTGGGATCTCCCTCCTCATCCCTTGGTCAGTGATATCCCTTCCTTACCTTTGGGTCCCATGGCTTGGGGCTGCTGACATTCATCCAGGCAGCTGAACTTTCCCCTAAGTTTAAATACATACATTTTTTTACGCAATGGTCATTATAGAAATAATTCTTCAAGCAAGGGAAAACAACAGTGTCTAAAACAAAACAATAGCATCAGATACTGCTTCAAGGGTTTTGAGGTGCACATTTCATCTCACTCAATCCCTCCACCAACACTGTGAAGTAGGGAACGTTATCTTAGCTATAAAGCTAAGGTGAGGAGAAGGGAGAAGGGAAGGGAATAAACATTATTTAGTGCCTACTATGTGCCTGCATTGTGCTAAGTAATTTTTTTTTACAAATATTATTTCATTTGATCCTTACAATAACCCTGGGAGATAGGTTCTATTATTATTCCTACTTTATAGTTGAGGAAAATGAAGCAAACAGAGGTTAAGTGACTTGCCCAGGGTCACGCAGCTAATAAATTGTGGGTTTGGGATATGAACTCAGTTCTTCCTGACTACGGGTCCAGTACTCTGTCAGCTGTGTCATCAGCTGCCTCATAAGGAGACTGAAGCTGAGTCCTGCCTCCAGGACTGAGACTGTTGCTGAATAGCAAAGGCAGGGGTTTCCAGTCCAGTTCTTCTGGCCCAGAATCCATTATTTCTGTAATGAATTATGGCTGCCTTGATTTTCATATCCTCAAGGCCTGGCATAACCCCTTTCATTTAATAGGCACCCAGTAAGTGTTAGCAGCATTGAGTTGTTCTGTAGTAAGACCATTTCTTCCTTTGTCTCTGATGGGATTACCATTTTTATCCACACAGCAGCTGTCCTCAATATTTCTGTGTTTTTCAAAGCCTTTGCATATCCCTCTCTAACCCCAGAGGGCTTGATGGTGCTTCTCAATTGCTCATGCTGTCAATATTATCAACCATCTTCCCTTTCCTCTTTTACTTCCTGTTCTACCACATATCACTGCCTCATTAGTTTCTACAACCCCTATTTCCTTTGTTTTTCTTTTTATTTACGCAATAAACATCAAAGCTAGTGATACAAGACTCCAAGATTAGATTGTCAGTGATAAGAGAGGCTTTTTCTAAATCCTCAAGGCTTCAACTGCTATCAGAAAGACTAGAATTACTTTTTGCAAGCTCATACTCTACTATTTAAAACTTCTTTCTTCACTCAATAATCAGTTCTAAGAACTGTTCACTTTACAATTTCAAGATTTACAATTTAAATACTGCCAACTTAACATTCAAAATTCTTTCCCAGTTCTTTCCCAGGACATGACAAAAAGAGAAAGCTATGTCAAATCTACCCAGTACTACAGTTATAGTATCTTGTCAATGGAATCATCAAATCCACACTTGTCTGCGTTATCTTTGCTTGTATTCTCTTCGCTTTCCCCCAACTGTTCAGAGAAATGCCTGCACAAGTACTTCCTTTACACATATTACAAAAGTCTTATAAACCTGGATTTTTTTTTTGGAGGTGGGTGGAATTATCAGTTTGGTGTCTTGGCAGATTGTACCCAACCATTTATATTCTCATAAGTCTTCCCTGAAAACAAGGGTATGAATTTACTAAGCATACAGAAACAAAATATGTATTGATTACATCAGAGAAATGTTAGCTCAAAGACAGATAGAACAGGCAGTCAAGAAGCATTTATTAAACACTTACTACGGGCCAAGCACTGTGTTAAATATTGTAGATAGAGAAAAAGGAAAGATAGTCCCAAAGGTCTCATATTCCAATGAGGGGGACAACATACAGATAACTACATACATACAAGATAGACACAATACAAAGGGAAGGTCATCTTAGATGGAAGGCACTATATGTAGATGAGGAAACTGAGTCCCAGGGAGGCAAAATGACTTGTTTGGGATCGCAAAGCTAATAAATGTCTGAGGGATGATTCAGGCCTGAGTCTTCCTGAATCTGATACTTTATATACTATACTTTCCCTCATTGCCAGGTGGGCGTAGAAGTAGAAATTTTCCTAGAGCCTGGAGACTTGACACCTATCAATAATAGTATTTTAATTAAAATGATTAAAAAGTTGAGGCTTTAGTGGGAGGTTTGTGTCTGACCTGTGTCTTATTTCTTTCTTCTAGAAGCTCTACGATGTTAACACCCTGGAAGGTAACATTACTTACCAGCCTCACGTTTCCATGGATGAGGGAGAATGTGAAGCAGCTGAATCCCTTAGCTCACTTACCTTGACAGAAAGTGACCTACCTGAAGATTTTCTGGATGATTTGGGATCAAAAGCAATTGCTCTTGAAGAAATATATTCCAAGTCAGTCTTTCTGAAATAATGCACATATTGGAAAATTGGTAGTCATACCTGAGGAGGCCTTACTATATTAAGGACAGTTTTATTTCTTTATTCATTCTTGCCTGGACTTGTGTAAAAGTGAGTTAATGATGTGGAAGATGCTGTGCGATTCTTGGAACAGGAGTAATAGGCAAGAGAGAAGGAAGAATTTATGTATTTTCTCCATGGGTAATCAGAACATGTTTTCTACAGATATGAATTTTACTGATTTGTATATCTCTTTGTTACATTTTGTTTGTTTTATAGCTGTAAGTATGACTAGACAGATCAATAGGTCCCTACACGGTTTTGAATAAGATTTGTCTCCAGCTAAATAAAGAAAACAAAAAATTTTCCTTTCGTTTTTCTTTTTTTAAAAATATTTTAAATTTTTATCATTTATTTATTTTTAGCACTTTTTAAATTTTGAGTTCCATTTTTTCTCCCTCCTTCTCACCCCTCTGCCACCTACTGAGAAGGCAAGTAATATGATATCAATCCAAATGTGAAATCATGCAAAACATATTTCTATATTTGCCATATTTTTTTTAAAAAACAAGAAAAATAAAGAAAATGAGAAAATTACACTTCAATTTGCACTCAGAGTTCATCAGTTCTCTCTATGGATAGCATGTTTTTATTCCAAGTCCTTTGAAATTGCCTTGGATCATTGTATTAATGAAATCCTCCAAGTTTTTCACAGTTGATCATCATGACAACATTGCTGTTACTGTGCACAATGATCTCCCAGTTCTTCACACTTCACTTTGCATCAATTCATATAGGTCTTGCTATGTTTTTTTTTCTGAAACCACCCCCCCTTGTCATTTCACACAGCACAATAGTACTTCATCACAATCATATGCCACAATTTGTTCAGCCATTGCCTAATTGATGAGCATCCTCTCTATTTCCAATTCCTTGCCACCACAAAATGAGCTGCTACAAATATTCCTATACATGTAGGTCCCTTTCGTTTTTCTTTGATCTTTTCAGGATAGAGACCCAGTAGTGGTATTGCTGGGTAAAAGGGTATGCACAATTTTATAACCCTTTGGACCTAGTTCCAAATTGTTCTCCAGAATGGTTGGTCCAGTTCACTACTCCACCAACAGTTCATTAGGGTTCTAGTTTTTCTCTCATACCCTCCAGTTTTTGTCATTTCTGATAGGTATGAGGTAGTACCTTAGAGTTGTTTTAATTGGCTTTTCTCTAATCAACAGTGATTTAGAGCATTTTTTATGTAACTATAGATAGCTTTGATTTCTTTTTCTGAAAACTTCCTGTTTATATCCTTTGACCATTTATCAATTGGGGAATGGCTCTTCTTTTTATAAATTTGACTCAGTACTATACTCATTATGTATTTGAGAAATGAGGCCTTTCTCAGAGAAACTTGCTATAAAATTTTTTTATATTAATCCATTGTCTATGGTACCTTTTGGCAAAATGTAGTTTCCTTGATTATCCCTTTAATTAGGTTTATTTTTGCTTTGTCTAAAATCATGATTACTACCCTTGCTTTTTTACTTTTACTTCAACTGAAGCATATTAGATTCTATTCCAGCCCTTTATTTTAACTCTGTATGTCTTTCTGTTTCAAGTATATCTCTTGTAAACAATATATGGTTGGATTCCAGTTTCTAATCCATTATGCTATCTGCTTCCATTTAATGGGTGATCTTGCCCCTTTCACTTTCACAGTTATGATTACTATGTATTTCCTTCCATCCCATTTTCTTGTTTCTTCTTCTCTCTCTCTTTTAATTCTTTCCCTTCTCAAAAGTCTGTGTGGCTTCTAACCACTGCCTCTCTTAATCTATCCTTCCTTTAATCATTCTCCCCATCTTCCCTTATCTCTTCCCCCCCCCCATTTCCCTATTGGGTAAATTACATTTCTACATACAACTGAATGTGCGTGTGTGTTTGTGTGTGTGTGTGTGGGTGTGGGTGGGTGTGGGGGGGTGTGGGTGTTTCCCTCTTTGAATCAATTCCAATGTGACTGAGGTTCAAACATTGCCTGCCACCTACCCCCACCAATTTCCCCTCCACTATAAAAGTTCTTTCTCATGCACCTCTTTTATATGAGAAAAATTTCCCCATTCTCTACCTCTCCTTTCCCCCGTCTTCCAGTGTATCCCTCTTTCTCATGGCTTCATTTCTCTTGGAGATCATTCCAACATAATCAACTCCTACACATGTCCTCTGTCTATTTAAACTCCTTTTAACTGCTCTGATAATGATAAAGTTCTTAGGAATTACATGCATCATCTTCTCATATAAGAATGTAAACAGTTTAACTTTATTGAGTCTGTTATGATTACTCTTTCATGTTTACCTTTTTATGCTTCTATAGTCTTGTATTTGAATGTCAAATTTTCTATTTAGCTCTGGTTTTTTCATCAGGAATGCTTGAAAGTCTCCTATTTCATTAAATATCAGTTTTTTCCCCTGAAGGATTATCCTCAATTTGGCTGGGTAGGTGATCCTTGGTTGTAATCCTAGCTCCTTTGCCCTCTGGAATATCATATTCCAAGCCCGTTGGTCCTTTAACATGGAAACTGCTAAATCTTGTGTGATTCTGACTATGATTCTTAATATTTGAATTGTTTCTTTCTGGCTGCTTGAAGTATTTTCTCTCTGACTTAGGAGCTCTGGAATTTGGCTACGATATTCATTGGCATCTTCATTTTGCGATCTCTTTCACAAAGTGATTAGAGGATTCTTTCAATTTCTATTTTGCCCTCTGGATCTAAGATACTAGGGAAGTTTTCCTTGATTATTTCTTGAAATATGATATCTGGGCTTTTTTTATCATGGTTTTCAGGTAGTAATTTTAAAATTCTTTCTCCTTAATCTATTTCCAGGTCAGTTGTTTTTTCTGATGAGATAGTTCACATTTTCTTTTTTTTTCATTCTTTTGACTGTGTTTTATTGTTTCTTGATATCTCATGGTCATTAGCTTCTACTTGCCCAATTCTAATTTTAAAGAAATTATTCTCTTCAGTGAATTTGTGTACCTCTGTTTCCATTTGGCCAATTCTACTTTTTAAGAAGGTCTTTGCTTCAGTGAATTTTTGTGTCTCTTTTGCCATTAGGTCAATTCTGGTTTTTAAGTTCTTACTTTCCTCAGTATTTTTGTGCCTCTTTTCCCAAGCTGTTAATTCTCTTTTCATAATTTTCTTGCTTCATTTCTTTTCCTGTTTTTTCTTCTACCACTTTTGTCTTTTTCTTTAATTCCTCCAGGAATTCTTGTTGGGCTTGGGTCCAATTAGCATTCTTTGAGGCTTTGTTTGTAGTTGTTTTCATATTTCTGTCTTCTGAGTTTATTTTTTGATCTTGCTTGTCACAGTGGTAGCTTTTATGTCAGATTCATTTTTTTGTTGTTTGGTCATTTTCCTAGCCTATTTCTTGACTTTGAACTTTATGTTAAAGTTGAGTTCTACTCACTTGGGAATAGGGAGGCACTGTCCCAAGCTTCAGGATTTTTTGTGCTACTGTTTTCAGAGCTAGTTCTGAGGGTTTGCAAGTTTTTGATGCTTCCAAGATGGTGTAGTCCTGGGAGAGAGATGTTCAATGCTCTCCTGGCCTGTACTCTGGTGTTTACCCAAGAAGGGCCCCTTGTCTTCTGCAGCCACAAGCACTAGTGCTGCTCTTGTCCCTGGAACTGTGACGTGGGCCCCTGCTCCCTTGTGACCAACCATCAGTGCTTCTCTCCGCCCTCAAACTATGGCCTAGAACCGCATATGGGCAATAGAGTGCCAATCAGTGCCAGCTGTACCCAGCGCCAGCAAAGGGTCGCCATAATCTCTTTCTGACCTCTTACCATCTCTGGGATGAGAGGTCCCGAAGCTGTTACTGTGGCTTCTGTTGTTGCCACCATGTGTATGGGTTCCAGACAGGTCTCTACCCTGGTGTTAAAAATTTCTCCTTCTGACCTCTGAGGTTTTCTTAAGCCAGAGAAATGTCTTTGTTGGCTCTTGTGTTGGTTTTGTTGCAAGTAGAGGAATGGAAAGATAAAGGCCTAAAATGTATGCTTTTATGCATGTTTTAGGAAATAAATCCACATTTTTGTATATATGTACATAGATACACATATACAAAAATGTGGATTTATTTTCTAAAATGTATGCATACATACATATATAGAGAGAAATGTGGATTTATTTTCTAGAAAATGTATATGTATACATACATACATGGCAAGCTAAGTGGTGCAGTGGATAGAGCACTGGGCCTGGAATCAGGAAGACTTGAGTTCAAATCTGGCCTCAGACACTGCTTTGTGACCTTTGCAAGTCACTTAACTCCTTTAGATCTCAGTTTGCTTATCTGTAAAATGAGCTAGACAAGGAAATGGCAAACCACTCCAGTATCTTTGCCAAAAAAAAACAAAAAAACCCCAAATAGGATCATGAAGAGTCAATTACTTGCAACAAAACTAACACAAGAGCAAGTAGAAATTATATCGTTAGCATAAAGCAAATAGAAATTATATCTGTTAGCATATATCCCAGAAAATACATGAGGGAATGAGCTCATTTGGGAGATAGATAGATCTCAGCTTAAACCAAGAGAGAGGCCCCCAATCCTAAGGGAAAGTCTCAAAGTCTCTAGGGAGACAAATCGGAAATCAGCAATGTGTTGAAGAGCTGGCATCTCCTTTGTGTGTACAGTTTCCAAAGTCTTTTTATATACCTCTCTCCAAGAGTGCCTGGAGTTACAAGCATTTCTCCCCCAAGAAGATCTGCCACCAAATTTACCCCTTACCCAGGTTTGCAGCATCAAATTAAAATTCTCTCCACTATTTAGAAGTCATGGCTCTTTGCACATACATAGCAGCATGTAAAATATCTCAGGCTTTGTTGGAAATATCATAACATATTCATTTCCTGAGGACTCACATAACCCTTAATTTAAAGTTGAAAACAAAATATATTTAGTTTTTTTCCTTATGAGTTGTAAAGAAGAAACACACAAATACTGGTAGAATTGTCACATGAACCAATAATTTTCATGTCTGTATGATATATGAAAAAACAACTAGGACAATTGTGAGCCATAATCAGGACATATTAAATACCAAAAAGTGTGTCTGATAGGCTAGGTTAAAGTCAGTGTAATTTATAAATAAAATCTTGTAGGCTCTTCTTCCTAATTTCAGGATTTTAACGAGATTTTAAAAGCCCTATTGAATACTAATCTCTTTCTTTTTGCCTTTCCTCTGACTTCAATCTGAAGAAACAAACCTGCTTCAGAATTGTCATAGTATCACCTTTGACAGCAAGTCTTGGATAGACTTAAAGCTGAAAGACTTTTCCAAG